GCAGCCCGGCACAGCCAGAGCTAACCAGAAAACGATAGAAGTGAGTGCCCCAGGTGGACTCAACACTTTCTTGCTTGACTTGCCAGACCCCCCTACTGCGGAACCGATTGTGAATGACCCGCAGTCCTCCCAGCTGGAAGGGCTTGGTGAGGGTGACGGAAGTACAATTTCGATTTGTTAATGCTTCCAAATGATGTCGAAGGCGATGACCCCGTCTCGGCAGTCGTCAAGTTGGTACGAGATCTTTTGGTGATCGCAATCGAGCCGATTTTTTCTTCGTTTCGTAATGAATTAATACAACTCTGGCAATATCGCCCTGGTGGACTTCAGCCTGGCGGCGTTAGAGAGCTCTCCACTGAAGAGGCATTTTTTTCTCAGAGATGAGATGATCACCTGGGCACTTCGCTATCTTGAACATTCAGAGGGAAAGAGGGATGAACCTACTGAATATTCGCTGCCATATAACATTTGGGTTTATTATTTGCGCAATTTGTTCAAATTCGCTATCCGAATGTCATTCCTTCGGGAGAAGTTCCAAATGCCAGAATGGCTGCGGACCCTGCGGCGCTGACCGGTACAACCGGGACCAACGAAGAGTCAGCTGCTGCGAAGATGGATGGAGAGGGCGACTCGCGCTCTGCGGAACCGCGAGACAATGGACTGAGGATCCCCTATGCTGGGGAGAAGTCTCACTTGTCAATCAGTGAAGACGTTGACGCAGATATTAGTGCAGGAGTCACAAACCTGTTCTTGCGCATAACTCTTCCGCCGGCGCCTAATCACAAGCGGCTCCGTCCTGAGGAGCAGGACCCCCCTGGGCGAAGTAGGAATGTGAGTCATGCGAGATTTGCTACTGTTGGGGGCTTCCTGCATTTTGACAAACAACAAGGAGAAAACGCTCGCGACGGGGCGAGTGACGAAGTCCGAAAGCAAGTTTTGGAAGCCCACAGGGCTGGCACAGTGCCCCCCCGCATCGCAGCCGTTCGTTGGCGCGCCTACCATGCGATCAAGGAACATGCACGTATGGTGCACGACCCAGTCTGCACGCTGCTAGGGGGGCTAGATGTGGAAGGATTTAAACAAGCCGTCAACTTTCTTAGAGCAGAGTATGACTCAGATGACAGGCCAGATTTCATCCCCCAGGGGGCCTACAATGCACTTACTCCTCGAACATTGCCGAATGACGCTGCCGGCGCAGCCCTAGGAAGCGGAGGCAGACATGTTGAGGCAGGGCCAGAGGTCCGCCATGCTGGGAAGCTCATAGTTTTGGAGAAAATGCAGCCACCGAGCGCACTCCAATGCGCAATTTGCATTCGGAAGATGACGAGCGATGGGATCACCCATGCCACCACTGCTCTTGCAGCACATGGCCGAACAATGTTACCATCGGGAGAAATTGATGCTCTAGGCATAAGGGCTGATGACATTCTGGTTCTCGGTGAGACAAAGCTAATGGAGCACTGGCAGTCCTTTCTGCGTCCAGACGCCTCGCGCGACACAGTCGCTGATGAGGAAAACGGAGACATAGTTGTCTCCATTAATAGAGCTGCACGGGCTTCCAGGCCCACGCCAGTGTCCTTTCTTGCATGTCAAGGACACTTTTGTTTTGCCCACAGCATAGGACGCCTGTATGCGCCGTGCGAATTTGGGATGGCGCAATGCCATGGGCACCCGATGCACGTTATTTCCTTAGAAACCGTCAAGGAGTCCACATTAGGATCTGGGGCTACCAAGTACCCTGATAAGCTCAGTGGATTGCGCCAAGCACCTGGTTATGGACTTCTCAGATTACCTACGAGGCGTTAGTTCCCTGCATAATACGCCGAGCACGTCCCTGACTGGCCCAGCCAGCGGAAGGACGGTGCAGCTCCATTCGCAGTGGTATATCAGGCCGAGGGCACTGCCCCGCCCGGCGGGATACTTCTGACTCAGAGAACTTGGCCTCGCGCAGTTACCCCGTCTTTCTGGGGAACTGATGCGACGCATAGAGAGAGTTTGCAATCTATTGTTGTCCTCAATGGGCGGGTGGTGACCCGCCTAAAGTATCGCATCTGCCGCGACGGAATTCTTGTGACGACAGGACGAGCACGTGTCAACGACATTTCTCGCATCGTGCAATTGACGTTGGTTGAGCCAGCTATGACTGCCGCGGGTACTGCGCGCAATGCGTAGCATATGATCTGGAACTTGATATTTTCACGAGAGTGGTCTGCATTTGAGTTTGCTTTCTCTCACGGCACAATGAGAACGTGGATCTTTTCTGGCGAACCAGTGGCCGATGCAGGGCAGAGTACACTGTCCGAAGAAGAAGAGGCCCTCATCGCGCGGAGAATGTGGACAGACAACGGGAGGTACATTTGCAATCGATACCATGCGTTGAGGGCTGGTTTCGGATATTGATTGCGATGCATCGCCCCTGTCAATTATAAACAAAACGTCAGGGTGAATTATTCGCAATGGCTTGGCAGAGATGCATTGGTTGCTGCATTGGCGGGCCGAGAACCTGCTCCACGTCTAGATGCCCCCCCAAGAGGGGAGAGCCGATCCAATATTATTTCTTACAGGCTGAAAGCAATGAACACGAGCTGTTGTGATGCACTGGAAAAATCTAAACAAAGCTAAACAACGCCAGCGCAGGTGGGCTGGCCAGGCACATATACGTTCACGGGCTGCTTTGGCAGGTTGTACGTTCATAAATTTGCAGCCAGGGACCGTCCTTTCCTGGAGACCCGACAGCGCCTCGGCACAGCCGCCGGCGCGTCTTGAGCCATATTCCCAGTATCTGGAACCCCTCAAGCTCCGATTCATTGACTGGCTGAAGTTCAAGCGTGGGGGCACTGCCCCAACCGCTGCCCAGTGGTGGCCATTAATTTGGACGCCAGATCTGGATCAACACGCTCGCCCAATGAGATACTCTGCGCTTGCCGCTTTTGATTGGAAAGATGTTAGTGCCGAGCAAATTCGCCCAGAGACAGGCTGGGATCAATTGGAACAAGAGATGGCGGAAAAAGGAGTAATCATTCCATCAGTTCAATTGTTGACGGAAAACTTGAGCGCAGCCAACCGAGCTTCTGCGTCGATCCAAGTCGGATATATATATATATATATATATATATATATATATATATATGTGTATCCGAGTTGTTGCTGAACTTCATCATCGGCCCAGCCGTATTGATGAAGTGAGATCAGCACCTGAAGAGAAGGCTACGACGTCGGACGGCATATGCAATCAACATATAGCCTAGCGTCACCTGCTGATTGTTCCGACGAGAACATTGCTCGTCTTGCTTGATTTCGCTTCTATGCCTGGCTGCATGTCTAGCTATATGTACAATCATGACTTGTGCGATGTGACAGAAGCTATCAAGGCTGCAACACAATTAATTCTTGCATATTCATCGACAGTTCCAGCTACGATGCCACTGGACAAAGACATCATTCATGATGTGCCGCCGGGATTGTCCGAGCGCGTGGACAGAATATGGAATCAACCATTTCATCGAGACCCCACTCACGGAAGATGAGGCTGACTTTGAGAGGGCGGATTCGGCTTTAAGTTATCTTTCCCCTAAATCCTGGATGTATCTTTGGAGTGAGATTTGTGTTAGGTCTGGAGTTATCCCCAAATCGTTAATTTATCTCCATGCGTTGCCACCGCCTGTCGCCACGCCGTTCGCCGTTTGCCCCCCGAGGGCATCGCTTCGTGGAAGCATGCCCGTTGGGGGCGAGGGGGGTGCCCCCGACCCGTGGGCGGCGTTCGCCGCCGCCCAGGAGGGCGAGCCGCGCGGCGATGGCGGGGGGGTGGACCCGTGGCTCGCCTTCGCCGCGCCGCCAGCGGCCGCCGAGGGCGCCGCTGCGGGGCAGGGCGAGGCGACGCAGGGCATGCAAATTTCAGAGGGGGGGGCAGCGGGAGAGGCGGGGGGGATGGACGGGAGGATCGGGGGAACCAGGCGCGGGCGGGGGAGGGGGGAGCGGAAGCGACACAGGAGCACGCACGGGGGAGAGGAGGTGCAGGGCACGGGGGGGGGGCTAGTGTAGACGGGTGGGGGTAGTCGAGCTCGTCCCCCATTATTTTTCCTTGCCGTTTGGTTTTCTTTTTCCATACTCCCCCTGCTCACCCTCCCTTTGCCCGCCCAGCCGTGTCGGCCCTGTTCCGTCTCAACTCTCTCCTCGTTTGTCCGACCAGTCTCGTTTCTGCCATGCCTTTGCTTCTGCCCAGCGAGGGATGGATACTAGGTCCTAGTATCCATCCCTCGCTGTTTGCGCTTGCCACGCCCGACCGCCAGGCTGAGGCGGTCGCGGCGGCCGCGGCGGACCCCGACCGCAGCGCCGCCAGGGCGCGCTGCGAGGTCCTGGCGCAGGCGCTGCAGGACAGAGCGAGGGCGGAGGGGGAGACAGACGGCGCTGAAAGGAAGGGGGGGCGTGACGTCCCCCCTTCCTTTCAGCGCCCCCGTTTGGCGATCTCCCAGTTGCCCTCTTCCTTTCTAGTGGCAGGGCTTCGCCCACTTCGCGCTCCGCCGCCCCCCGTTTGCCACCGGCCCCCCGCGGCCCCCCTGCCGCCCTGTGCGCTCTCGGCGGACCTCTCGCGAGGAGCGTGGCCTCAAAGGGAGCTCCACCTAGCGGTTCGCTGTCGCACTCCACGCGAGGCCCCCCGTTCATTGCTCGGCCCTTGCGGCGCACCCCTCATTCGGTTCGCGGCCCAAGGAAACGACGCCCGAGACCCCCGTGGCACGAGCCGCGCGCAGCGCCCCCCCCACCGCAACTGCCCGTCGGCAGAAAAGGGGGTTCGGATTGCCCCTCCCCCCTTGATGAGGGAGGAGGTGGCAGGAGGCGGAGGGGGGAGTGGAGGCGGAGGGGGAGGACCTGGTTGAAGATGGAGGGGACTGGAATTGGCCTCGAGGTGGAGTGAGGAAGAGAAATGGGGAGAGAAGGCGGACAAACGCTTAATCAGGGGGGGAGTGGGGCGACGACGGCGGCGGAGGGGTGTCCACCCAGAGGAGTTCCAGGTCGAGCGCATGCCCCTCGGAGAGGTGACAGCCCACGTCGGCAACGTGGCCTTGAGAATGACAGAGATGTTAGACTTCGCAGAGTACGCCGTCGACCAGGAGGTTGAGGGCTCGATGATTCCAGAGCTTTTGAGGCCGCACTCTATACTGAATGGCGGGGCTACGATTGCTGCGAAACGGCTCAACGTTCGCAAAGATAAGTTGTCCATCACGTCTGTGTTGTTGGCAGCGTCTAGTTTCATACTGTGGCTTGCTTGGATGCGATTCTCACTTCAGCGTTTGCTCAGCGAGGTCAAGCAACATGGTGGACGATCCGTCTCATTATTCTATCGGTATCGGTACGACGAGTCGCCTTTCAAAGTAGTTGTTGTGGATTCGCCTGAGTTGTCGAACGAATTCCTCGTGGATGCGGTCGGGCGTGGCGACGACGTCCCTTCTCTGATTGATGCTGTACCTGTAAGGGACGCTGCCCCTTCGAAGCTGCTCTGCATAGAGATTACCATCGGGGCGCACGTAGAGATTGGCGGCAACCATCGACTGGTCACGTGGACGCCCCCCATGCCGTATCTGTCGTTGCCTGGTACGACGTCGACGTGTTATTTCAATGCATCTTCTATGTTGCATGAGGCCCTTGGCTTGAAGTCCTTCGAAGAAGAGTTCGAGTCCGTGCAGAGGGTCAGCTGTACCGATGGCGATGGGGCATGTGCTCGGGCAGAGCGGGCGTGGAGCATAGATAGCGTGACGGATGCCCTCCACCAAGTTGATCGGATCCACCGCATTATGAAATATCGCGAGTCGGTAGTCGAGTTGTCGGGGTTGGAGAAGAAGGTAAAGCATTGTGCACTCAGTATGAGATTTGGGAACTTCATGGCGAATTTCCGCCATTGTGTCCGCGTTGTGTCGCTGCGTGCTGTGAGGATATGTAGAGATCGGCCAGTCCCGTACAGTGGGCGCTTGAAGCTCGCCAAGGCCTTGGACGTGTTGCTACCAAAACGTATGGCTGGCAACGTTCAGCGCCGATGGGTCATCGAATCAATGGGGTTGGTTTGGCAGGACGGCACAACGCATCTACACGTATACGTTCCAGCTGGTGGCCCAAGTGATACAGATATCAAACTACGCCTGATCAGGGAGTTCACGCACGCGTTGGTGCATTCTGGCCCCCAGAGCTTTCCTGGCCGAAATTTCGTCAAGGCTGAGCAGACCCCGAACTGGATCGCTCTCTTGGAGGTCTTCGGCGTGTTCACCAGGGCTTACCCGATGTGGGCAGACATGGTTGGGGGTAAGAAGCATGTGCCGTCTGTCCGTGATCCTTTGCCTGCACTTCTACGTGGTCTTGAACCCGATTTGGCTGCCATCGCGGATGCCCCTGCCGCCGACGACGATGCCCACGTGGCCGATGGCGTCGCAGATGATGAACCCAGTAGGCAGGAACTCAACGTAGAACGGGTGAGGGCCAAGGACGAGCAGCAGGCGAAGAAGCTCGAACAGGCCATGTACCGAGCAAATACGCTGAAGTGGATCAGAAGTAGTTGTGTTTACTTTGACATGTTCAATCTCAGCGTGGGCCTGTTGCCGCACATAGAGCTCATGGCGAAACACATGTACATCTGCGGCAAGGATTGGGACGTGAAGCAAGCTTCGGACGAAGTCGCAGCCGTCAAAGCTGCATTGCAGCCAGGGGGCGGTGCTGCTTGCCGACCTGATGGCACTCTTGTTCGGACCTTCCGTTCGCTGGAGCCGTTCCAGGGCCGCGCTGAGCAGGCCGTGCTCGAGCAGAGTCGGCGTTTGATGGGCGACGCGGCCACGTGGGACGTGCTGCCGTTCCGCGCCAGGACAGAGGAACACCAGCATCGTGCGTTTCAGCTTTTTGTTCGAGGCCACGTCCGTATCTCGGTGCACAAGAGCGCCAACACGAACTATCCATACAAACTTCTAGCCACTCTTGCGGATCCCAGTCTTATTCCCGAAGTTCTCTCGGATGCCATCTGCTGCAAAAGGTTGGACCCATGGGGTCGGAGCTTCGTCCAGCGCCACCCCGACTTGAGCCGCGAGGACGCGCGGGCTGAACTCAGGTGCCTCGCGTCGCTCATCAAGGACGACACCTTGGACAGGGAGCACGCCCACCAGCGGTTTCGGAGGTACGCGTGCGTGCGGAGCGTCCAGACGAGGCCCATTGAGTTATCGAAGGGGAACGCGTACTGGGTGGGCTTGCAGCAGGCGGACCAGGTACGCGATGCTGGGCATCGCCGAGGAGATGACCCCAAGGACCCACCCGAGGACGATGGGGTTGAATAGGTGGAGGTCTGGGGGAGGACGGGGTCGACGAAAGAGAGCGGCCAAGGGGGCAGGGGGGCAGGTGAGGACGACGGGGGCAAGGGGGAGGAGGAGTCGGAGGAGGAGGAGGAGGAGGTGCAGCGGGAGGACAGTGCGGGGAGGTTTCAGGAGGAGAAGGATGACGGTGGGCTCGTAAGCGAGGGGCTGCTAAGTGGCCAGGCTTGTGCCAGGCTCGCCATTTCACGCTCCCTCGTCCCGTTCTGAACCTTTCGGGGCAGTCGGTCTAGGTTTAGTTTCTGGGATGTCTTGATGGCGTGTTCGGAGTGTCGCGGACCTGGGGCCGACGGTTTCAAGCGGGTCTGGAAGGCAAGGGGGGGCTACGAAGGGAGGACGGGGTGTCGGGCGCAGACGGGGGGGTGCCTGCGAGGCGCCAGGAGGTTTTGAAAAGCTTGGGGCTGGGTTCGGTTTGATGTCAGCCCCCTCGCCCGCCCCGCTGTTTCGTGCGGTCCGAGGCCCGTTCCCTTGTGGAGAACCCCGTAGCGCCCTGGGCCGCTTGCCCCTCTCACCGCCCCCCCACCCCGAGGAGAGGCGCGAACGTCGGGAGCAGCTTCGACGCAAGCTCAGCGCCTGGAATGCGTTCTTCGTCGAGGCCTCCGCTCGGGACAGGGCGCAGGGACGTCGCAGGACTGTGCAGGAGCTCTCTCAGGAGTACGCTGGTTTGAGCGAGGAGGCCAGAACTCGTCTCAATGAGATTGCGGAGAGGGCGAATGTTGCCGTCGATGCTGGGGCTGAGAGGCCATTGGTTCATCTCGGTTACCTGGCGGCGGCGCGCGCCGTCGGCCCCGTTGGCGTCGGAGGTGAGGGTCAGGCGCATCAGCTTGCCGTGCTTTCTGCAGATTGGGGCAGGATCGAGGTTTGGAGGCAGTCAGCTCGGCGAGAGATGGCTGCCGCGTCTCAGCGAGCATGCGAGGACGCAGCAGCTCGCCGCGACCACCATGTCGTCGGGCACGGCAGGGAGCAGCTCGCGAGACTTGCCGATCAACTCCCCGCTTGGGCGTCTGCTGCCCAAGGCAACGTGATGCCAGAGCCTTCTCTTTCACACAGCTTCGCGCACTATCACGCTGCTTTCGATGCACGGCCCTTGGCATCAAAACTGGCATCGGTGCGGACCAAGGGTAGAGCCGCTAGGCCAGTCGCTCACCTGAAGGGGGACATCCTGAAGTGCTGGGCCCACTTGAACCGCACAATCCTGGATCCCAAGGTCGAGAAGGTCACTGAGGCAGAGCCCCCGAAGCCTGTGGACACTGTGTGCTTCCGCGCCAATGATTGCATGTGTGGTGAGGGCGGGCAGTCACGCAGCCTGATCAAGTCACGGTTGGAGACAGTTGTTAAGCAATCGTTCAAACTTCCAGTGCAGAAGCGGCTCCTACATACTTGCAACGTGTTCGCCATCTTTGTGGGTGATCTACCTGATCGATCTCCAGATGCTGCCCCTGGCGCTGCCTCCCGAGTTCACTGCATGGTAGTCGGCGATCTCCTCTTGAAGCCATTCGACATCTTCTGGGGCGCCATCGGTGGCCGCAATGTTGACCTCGCCAGCTTCATCGCCAGGGACGCTGATTCGCCGAGCATGCACGCGGCCGTCGACGTCGCTATCCCGCTCCAGTACCAATACGAGGGTTATTTGTCGTGGGATGTGGTGAAGCTCCTCGACCTCAGCATGAAGTGGGAGGTCGCTTTCTTCGAGGCGCACTTCTCGGGCGTGACAGGTGCTTTCCGACCTTGCTGCGCGTCGGCAGTGCAGCGCGGTGACCGACGATTACATTTGTTGTGGGACCCGCTGCGGAAACGGAAGAAGCGCCAGCGGCTTCATTCCGAACTGTCAGATTGGCTCGCGATTGCCGATGCCGACGACGAGCTGTACGGGGAGGGCGCTGCTGGCAAAGCAGACAAGGGCGGTGCGAAGCACGGTGACGATGACTACGATGGCGACCTCGGAGCCGACGGCGGAAGTGCAGGTGCTGAGGGCAGCTCTGTTGAAGATTATAGCGACCGCGGGGTTCCGGAGTCGAGCTCGTCATCCAGTTCGTCGTCTCGTTGGGGGTCCAGCAGCTCGAGCTCAGATGGCAGCGATGGGCGTGAACCTGAAGGCCCTGGCGGAGACTGCGACGCCCCCGACGTCGACCCAGACGACCCTCCTCATCGTGACCCACCTGGATACCGTGCAGATGGCCATGGCGGACCCGTCGGCGCAGCGGGCGACTGGGTCAGGATCGACGTCCCTGGCGGGCACTTGATGTGGAGCCGCAACCACAGCAAGCTCGACGCTCACTGCGGCGTTCACGGAAAGTCGTGCAAGTGCGACCGCACGTATCGGAGTGGGCAGAGACCACTTGGTCGCCAGCTTGCGTGGTTGGAGATGGTGCACGTCGAGGGCGTGGCTGTCGACCAGGACACCCACAGCAGGGAGCTGAAGGACCTCGTCGGCACGAGGGACTACTATGGCGTTCGCCAGTGGTGCCGATCGAAGTTCGAGGAGTTCGCCGACGGCAACCCCATTGCCAAGGCGTTGGTGGAGCACGAGTCCCCAGAGGGCCCAGGGCAGGAGCCCCAGGTTTCACGGTGACGGTGGTGGCCGACTCGTCATCTGGATGTGCGTCGCGGGCTTCTACGCGACGCCCTTGGGCTCAGCGGTTTTCGCTGGGCCGACGCGAGCCGTCGGGGCTCGACGCTGCTAAGAGCGAGACTTCGCTGGTGCAGCCTGTGCACAAACGCATTCTCTCAGCGTCCCCACCGCAGCCTATGTTCGTCAGTCTTCTACGCTGTACTCGTCAGTTCGTTGTATCCTGTGTTTTCACCCTTTTCGGTAATTCTATCCAGTTTAGTTCTCGAGTTGCATCCGTGTTGTCGGTTCCGATTCTCTGTTCTCTCCCCCCCCGATCCTGCGATCGACCGTTGCCTTCTGATGCCCGCCATCCCTCTGTCTCCTCGCCCTCCACCCCCCCTTCCCCGCGTCCCCGCCCGAGCGCTCTCGGCGGCGTGCTGGGCGCGGCACGTGTCGAGCGCGCGCGGGGGATAACTTCGGAGATAGTTGCACCCCCCCAGCCTCCCAGGGGACATAAGGTCGGAGATGACTTTCGCCCCCCCCCCCCAAGAGTTATCCCCTGGGGGCCTCGGGGGGCAACTTTCTATCCCCAGGGGATAACTTGTTATCCTGGAGCTGCCGCCCCACCCCCTCCCAGGGCTGTCTTCGGGGGTGGCTGGGGGACAAAAAGTTATCCCTGGAGGGCAAAAAGTTATCCCTGGGACACAAAAAGTTATCCCCTGGGGACAAAAAGTTATCCCCTGGGGACAAAAAGTTATCCCCCCTCTCGGGCGGGCCCCCCCCCCAGGCCGGCCTGAAAGTTATCCTCGGGGTTATCTCTCAGGGCTCCGCGGGGCGGCCTCGACGTTATCCCTTGGCGACCTTCAAAGTTATCTCCTGGCAGGGTTCGGGGCCCTTGCACTGTGTGTGCTCGCCGAGGCTCACAGGTGTCGGCAGTGCCGCCTGCTGTGGCACGACGGGGGGAGGAGGGGGGAAAGGGGGGGGGGCGGGGAGGGGGGGAGGAGAGGGGGGAGGAGGAGGGGAGGGATGAGGAGGGGCAGAGGAGGGGAGGAGGATGAGGAGGAGGAGGGAGGAGGAGGAGGAGGAGGAGGAGGGAGGAGGAGGAGGAGGAGGGAGGAGGAGGAGGAGGGGAGGGGGGAGGGGGGGGGGGGGAGGGGGAGGGAGGAGGTCGAGGGGGAGGAGGAGGAGGAGGAGGGGGGGGAGGAGGAGGTAGGAGGACGAGGAGGAGGAAGGGTGGAAGGAATGGGAGGGGGTGTAATGAACTTTGTTGGCTGAGGCCAGGTTGCATGTCTTTGCCAGTCCCCGTTGGCGAAGCAGAGGTTGCTAGGCCCGCTTCGTCTAGGTTGTTGCGACGAGCTCCTCCGATGCCTTTGGGGGGGTCGGCCCATAATGTTTTGAGATGTGTGCTCCAAGTTGTTGGACCGACTTCTGATTTCAAATTCCGAAGCCGCTCTTATCCCTCCCGCGTCTGAGATTGTCTGGCTGCGAACTGCGAAGCATGCCGTAGACGAGACCGAACATATATGCACAACACAACAGGAACAGCCCAGTTTAGGAAACAGGGGTCTTACTAGTGGGCGCCCGTGTGACGCTATTTCCCCCCTTCCTCCCCCCTCCTCCCCTCCTCCCCCTCCTCCTCTTCCTCCTCCTCGTCCTCCTCCCTCCTCCTCCCCTCCCCTCCTCCTCCTCCTCATCCTCCTCTTCCTCCTCCTCATCGCGTCCTTCTCCCCCCCTCCTCCTCCTCCTCCTCCTCGCGTGCAAGTCGACCGCCAGAACAGGGAGGGGGAAATAGCGTACCAAACATCAAACAGCCTTTGGGTAGGTTCCAGTCTTTGTGAGACGAGGGGGTATGCATGAACCATGCGCTCAAAACTTTGCCACCGCTCTGTAGCCCTTTCCATCGAGGCCCGCCTTTGAGCGCGACCAGCGCTGTGGACTCATCCACCCGCCCGCGCCAGAGCCTTGCGCCTGTCTGTCGCCACGGCACCTGCAGGGCACGCCGCCAGTGGGCGTCTTCGCAAGGCCCTGCCGTCCTGCACGGGTGCGCCCTCTGACGTCGGCGGGGCCAGCAAGGCGCCTCCACCGTCGCGCAAGCGAGGCCGCGGGGCTGCCGCAGAGGAGCCCAAGGCCAAGGCCGCACGCAAGCCCACGGCACCCAAGGCTTCCGCGCGCGGCCGCGCGAGCTGCGGTGCCACCCCATCAGATGCAGATCCTTGGGGGCAGTACCAGTATACCTTCAAGGACGGGTCCCTCAAGAAAGTTCCGATTGGCAACTCGTGCGGCAGGTGCTATGCGACTTGGCAGAGCTCCTTCGAGCATAAGGGATCATGGAATGAGATATGTGAGCTGTGCAACTCAGATGCTGAGTTCGACCAAGCGTTCACCATGGCAGACACGGTGAAGCACGATGAGCACCCGCCCGACTTCTTCCAGTCCACGATCACCAAGGATACCGAGCAGGGTGTCACGTTCGAGGTGCAGATGCGCGCGGTGAAGCCGTCGGAGTTCGAGGGCCGCTTCGGATGGACGCCGAAGTCCCTCAACATCCCCGTCAGGGATATCCGACATCCAGATACGTCCGTCTTCAAAGGCATCGCCGTGAAAGATGACGGACAATGGGGCGGCGCTGGCATCGCGTACAGATATTGGATGACCTACAAGGTGGCGCAGCAGGAGTTCCGCCAGCAGTTGTTGGACCACTGCCGCGGCGACCAGGCGGAGGAGATCTTCGACATGATGACCAGGCCGTCCGAGCGGGAGACCGAGGAGGCACCGTTGCGTGGCGCCAATCCTGGGGTCGGAGGGGGCATGGGGTAGCACGAGGGTTCGGCCGCGGCCCCAAGGCGGGCCCAGTCTTGACCAAACTTGATGGGGCTCCTGCTGAGGGGCCTCCTCCCCCCATCGCCCTCCTCCTCCTCCTCCGTGATCCTCTTCCCCCTCCTTCTCTTCTCCCCCCCCCTTCTCCTCCAGGAGGGGGCTCGGGAGGGGGGCGCGGGGTGGTGGGAGAGGGGGGGGGGGGGGGGAGGGAGGGAACGGAGTTCAGGAGGGGGAGGGGAAGGGAAGGGGGAGGGGAGAGTGGGGGGAGGGTGAGGGGAGTGGAAGGGGGAGGGGGGAGGGGGGAGGCAGGAGGGTGATCCGTCTGAACCCGCAGAGGCCCCAGGATATCACCAGAGGGCTTGCGCTCAACCGATCTTTGGGGGGGGGATTCTTGGTCGGGGTCTTCTGGCCGCGGCCTCCTGGGGCTTCGTCGAAGGCCCTCTGGGGTCGGTCCTGGGTCGTTCCTGAGGGCATCTCCTGAGCCGCTTCGTTTGGAGCCCCAGGTGAAGAAGGCTCGGCTCAGCGCGCTCGGGGGCCTCACGACCGACGACATCCTCAAGAAGATTGAGCTCGCCAAGGCGAAGCCCCCAGAGGAGTCTGAGGACGCCGTCGAGCTGCTCGAGCTCGCGGGCGACGAGGGCGACGAGACCGCGTCCCCCTCCGCCCCTGCGAAGGCCGCCCTTGCCGCCCAGCAGCGCGCTGTGCACGCGCCTCTCGCGCGCTCCACGGTGGCGGGGGGCAGGCCGACGGTGGACTCGCCAGAGGACGGCAGCGGCGGCAGCCTCGTGGGCGAGGAGCTGGAGGAGGGGGAGGTAGTTCAGGAGGGATGGGGTGAGGCGGAGGTGAAGGAGAAGGATGAGACTGGGGAAGAGGAGGAGACAACAGCACGCGACGACGCTGCTTTTCGGGCCTCGTGGCCCCTCGTTGGCCCCCCCCCCAGACCTTCTTCCCGCCGCCGCGGCTGCTGAGGCAAGCCTTTTTACGTGCGCCTGTGGTCTTGTCGGCGCGTTGGTTGGCCGTCACAGCGGCTGGGACGCGTCTTCGGTAAAGAAGCGAATGCCCGTTCCAGCTGCCGTTGTGGCTCGCCGCGCTGCGACGAGAACATGGTCTCACAGGTAAGCGATGGCTTAGCGGTTGTTGGGGCTGCAGCTCCGAAGCTGAGACCAAGTTCTCCTTTTCAGCGAACGTATGTGCCAGGACGTGTCGTGTTGTTGGTTCCGCTGGCTTAGGGAAGTGGGCGGGAAGTGTGTCTGCGCTGCGTTGTCACTCGAAATTTGGGCGCCCCTTCCGAGGCCGCCGGCGTGTCAAACCAATGTGTGCTGGAGTTTGGTTTGGGCTTTTGGCCGGTTTCTGGAAGGTTCCAGGGGCGGATCCGAGGGAGGGCGGGGGGTGGTTCAGAGGCAGTTCGGCCTAGGCCGCGCAGGCGTGGTTGCTGGGGTTGGTTTGGGCGCGGGGCCGACGATGGCGGGGGCCGAACAGTTCATGTGTTTTTTTTTATCGTGGTCCCCAGGACAACGGCTCCAATGACCAAGCGGCTCAGAGGTGCGCCTCCCTCGACCTGTCCCTGCTCCTCAACGGCGCGGGCAGGCTTGCCCAGAAACGCCGCAGGCTGCGAGAGTGTTTGAAGGATGCTGCTCAGTCCCAGGACGTCCTCTCGAAGTCGGCCGCGTCCCAGTACCAAGCCCGCCTGAACCTTGCCGACTGGGCCGAGTCATTGAGCGCACGTGAGCAGGTTGCGTCGATGGACAGCCAGACGCTCCATAAACGCATCCAGGCTTTGGCTGCCGAGGGGCTGCAGTGGGAGAAGCTCCCCATCGAGAACATCATGAGCCGCCGTTCCGCCGATGTCGGCGCTGAGGCCGTGGCAGCTAGCCCAGAGACGCACAAGGGTGCCATCGACGCGTTCGTCGAGCTGCTTCGCACGTGGGAGCACCCGAACTCCGTGGACGCCAGCGAGGCGGTTGACCACGTGTTCGACCCCCTGCGCACCAGCGGACTTGACCTGGTAGGCCCGATGGGTGACAGACTAGCTTTCGTCTTTGCGTGCTTGTGCGAGCATTACGTCCAGCAGCTGTGGGCCACCGTCGAGACCATCGGGGGCCCTCAGGCCGCTGCCGTGCTTGTGAAGTTCCAGGAGTTGGAGGCGACCCTCCTCGACCAGGAGACCTCGCACGAGTTGTCAGGGGAAGCCA